AGAATAGCAAGGGAATTGGCAGAGAATCAAATCTAAATCTGAATTAGATCTAGGATCCACTTCAATTGCAACAGCCAGTTTAACAAAGAGTTATCGCCAATGAAACTCCTATATTAGTTAGGAGATTATGTGAATCCAGTGCCATTTCTACCGAAAGAAAAATGTCCTAAAACGGATTGATTATAATAGTATAGTTGTTAATTTTCTATCAAAAATTCTAAAAGAAAAAAGAATTTAATCTAGATATTTCAAAGTTTTAGATTATTATTATTATAACAAAAATATTTTTATTTAATATAGACTATTAGGTAGAATTAGACAATTTTATTAACTCTAATATTTAATAGACATAAAATATAAATTTTCTTATTTAATCATATACATAAAGCATGCATGCATGTTCAGTAAAATGGACTTCTAATAGGCTATAGAAGGATCTAATATATACTCAAATTAAAATATGCCATTCGACTACGCTGGTCCTTTACTCAACTTGTAGACTTCACTCGAATTTTGAAAGCGTAACTCTCTCTCTCTTGTCCTATATCTTTGGACCTACAAATGAAATCTCATAAGCAAGACTCTAAATTCTATTTTATATACTCATGAAGGCTCTTCAACATCATCTCAATTAAAGGATGAAACTTATTTTTCCTCGCAAATTTGGCCTTTATATTTTATCAAAATATTTTAATAACAAAAGATTAGCCAGAAGGGGATAGAAATGTGAACAAAATGGGGCATAAAAATTCAGTTAAGCCTGGAATATCTACATTTAGAGTAGTTGCATTAGATTAATATTACTATGAGACCTTTGACAAATTCATCCGTATAAAGGAGAGCTTGAGAAGGGATGGGATATCCGAGTGACTAGTTTTAGAAATCCACGGGCATATTTTGAAGAGGACGGTTGCTACGAGAGTAATCATAAATTAAGAAAATATTTTTCATGGATAAATTAAGAAAATATTTTTCGAGCATACAAGGGCACGCAAAATATGAAAAGAAAATTTTATTTTCCTTCAAATACTAGTCAAGTTAGTATAATAATAATAATAATAATAATAATAATAATAATAATAATAATAATAATAATAATAATAATAATAATAATAATAATAATAATAAGAAAGTTTTCATAAAATATTTTTCATGGATAAATTAAGAAAATATTTTTCGAGCATACAAGGGCACGCAAAATATGAAAACTTTCTTATTATTATTATTATTATTATTATTATTATTATTATTATTATTATTATTATTATTATTAAAACTTTCTTCGATAGGATGGGGTCATTCAAATTTTTTAATTTTCTTCTTATTTTTGTGTGCATTAATAAATAATTCACAAATATTGCGGCTCATTAAAAATTAATAAACAATAGAAAAAGACAATAGAATTACATTTATTTTAAATATAAAAAATTGATAATTGCAACATAAATGCCTCAACAATAGGCAAAAATGAAGAAAAACGCATGAATGGAGCATTCAAATGAAGTGCAGGACCAGACAAATTTACAATGGAATATGACCAGATTAATTTTACATTTAAGTGCTTCTTAGCCTTTTCACTGAGCCATACACTTCTTCATTTTCTTGAGCTTGCCGCTTTAATGTATTTCGCTTTTTGTTCAAGAAATTCGTCAACCATACAGCAGAGGCTTTTGGAAATCTTGTGAAACGGCCATTCACGAAATCTACATAAAAAAGGCCAAATCTAACACTGTATCCTGCGCCCCATTCAAAGTTGTCAAACATTGACCATATGTAGTAAGCCTTCACATCTACGCCTTCACTGTAAGTGGAAGAATAATCATGAAAAATGAAATTATGTAATAAAATAGTCAATAACTTCATAATTTACAATTTTCATTGAGATCTGACGCATAATGATATGAGGGATGACTTACTCCATCGCTTTCTTAATGTAAAAGAGATGGTCTTGGTGATATCTAATCCTCGTCTCATCTAATCGAGCTTCTGAAATTGTTAGGGCCGTATTGTTCTCTTCATCCACCCCTACAAAAATTAAGTCATCCAATGAATCACATTAAACAAGTTAAATATTACCAAACGTTTCTTATCTTCCCAAAGAAAAATGGATAATTAAAATGCTATGAATTTACCATTCTCAGTAATGTAAATGACAGGATTTTTATATGTTTCCTTTAGATGAATCAACAGCTTGTAAATCCCATATGGAACAATATACAACCAATCTGAACCGCCCTGACATAAGAAATGATAATATTCTATAAGATTCGGAATAAAAGTGGAGTAATTCAATCTAGTTGCAATTATGACAGGATAGTCCACTACCAATAGATTGGGATAATTCAATCTATCTTCTATGTTATTTCTATGAAAAGATAAAGTTAAAAAGCATACCTTAGGACCAATAGGTATCCCATCACGTTCACCTACAAATGATTGAGAGAGTGAGTGTGACATGTTAATTAAGGTTAATTTATATCTATACATGAACAAGGTCCATATACTTACTCGATACTGCAATATCTTGATCATTCGAATAACTAGGTGATGTACCAGGTTCGCTAGGTGAATTGCTAGCATAAGAACTAGTGTAATAATTTATGCCTAGAAAATCATAAGACCCTTTCACCAACTTAGCTTGTTCTTGTGTAAATTGGGGAAGACGGTCTCCAACTAATTTTCTCATAACTGGCGGGTAGTCACCAGTTACTACAGGTCCTACGAACCTGAAAAATGGGAGAGGAAAAGGGAAATTGAGATGTGAGACAATTTTTATTTAATATATAAGCACAAAAAACATATTCTGGTGAACAATCTGTAGGCTTCCTGTGAAAAGATAAAATGTGCGAAGGCACTTACCAGCCCAACATAAAATCGAGGCCCCTCGAAGCAGCCTCTTTATCAGCTATGGTGTCAGTGAGTGGCTCATACCACTGAGCCACATTTGTTACTCCTATCTTGCCTCCTTGATGTGCCTACACGTGTTTGTATAAACTATTCAATACCGAATCTCCAAATTGTATATGAAATTTGTTTCATGATATTTATAATGTAGGCCAAGATTTACCTGATATCTTTGCTTGTAAATATCAACTGCTGCTGCATGAGAAAGGATCAAATGGTGTCCCACAATATATGGTTCTGTTCCCGGATTTCCGTTGGAGCAACTAGTTAAAGCATCAACTTTACATCTATGACGAGGGATAGCCTTTACGGGCTCTGTTGAAGTTGAACCACGACCAGGGGGAAAAGTACC